GCTGACAAAATTTCTATTGTTTCAGCCACTGTGACCTTGACCCTTGACCTTTTGGCCCCAAATGCAAAAGGCTTCTTAGAATTGCCAAGGACAATCCACAAACCAAATTTGAAGTTCATATGTAAAGTATTTCTCAAGTTATCGCGCTGACAAAATTTCTATTGTTTCAGCCACTGTGACCTTGACCCTTGACCTTTTGGCCCCAAATGCAAAAGGCTTCTTAGAATTGCCAAGGACAATCCACAAACCAAATTTGAAGTTCATATGTAAAGTATTTCTCAAGTTATCGCGCTGACAAAATTTCTATTGTTTCAGCCACTGTGACCTTGACCCTTGACCTTTCGGCCCCAAATGCAAAAGGCTTCTTAGAATTACCAAGGACAATCCACAAACCAAATTTGAAGTTCATATGTAAAGTATTTCTCAAGTTATCGCGCTGACAAGATTTGTCCGGACACACACACCCACCCACCCACCCACACATACTTGTTTCACATGACTAGTGTGGACTTTCCATTGCTTTCGTGTAGTTAAGAAAAACCAGTGAAAAAACTCATTTTCCTCAAACTGTGAAAACTCTTTCAACCCAATTTTTTTTCTATGATTCCCTTTAGTGTTTCTCTTCATTCTGCTACAGATAACCTAACCCAAAAATGCCTCTAAACCTGTTTTCCAGAAATGGGGAAACACTGTGTGGACGTGGGGCAAGTCCACACAACGTCGGTGCTACCTACATTATGTGGACGTCTTTTGTTCGGAAGTCCACACTGCGTATGTAAGACAAGCTCACCCACACACACACCCACCCAGACTTGTTTCACATACCTAGTGTGGACTTTCCTTTCTTTTCATGTAGTTAAGGAACACCAGTGGAAAAACTCATTTTTCTCAAAGTGTGAAAACTCTTACAACCCAATTTTTTTTCAATGATTCCCTTTAGTGTTTCTCTTCATTCTGCTACAGATAAACCTAACCCAAAAATGCCTCTAAACCTGTTTTTCCAGAAATGGGGAAACACTGTGTGGACGTGGGCAAGTCCACACTTCGTCGCTGCTACCTACATTATGTGGACGTCTTTTGTTCGGAAGTCCACACTGCGTATGTAGACAAGCTCACCCCACCCACCCACCCACGGAAGGACAAGGCGGAAACAGTATGCCCCTTCGGCTTCGCCGCGGGGCATAAAAAGCTGAAATCAGCTTTAAAGCTGAGATTTCACACCCCTGCAGATGATATATCCGAATGACGCAATTAGACCAACAACTGGCGCAATAAATTTGCGATTGATTAGGCCAAAAAAAAGTCTCCGGTTTCTGGTATGCGCGCGCGTCGCTGTAGCCATGCGCGTCGGCAAAATGAAAAAGTTTTTTTTTCAATGAAAGATGATGTCTCAAAACCGCCAAACTCACTGGTTTGACTGGAATCCTGCTGCTGCACAATTTCAACGTGTTTTTAGATTGGGTTATGGTCGAGAATAAGCTTTATGTGGCCTCTCTGGACACCCATATATTTGCATTAAGTTTAGTCGGGCACCATTTGCAGTCATCAGCCGACTTTTTGGGCAAACGCCATACCAGAAACCGGAGACTTTTTTTTTTTTGGCCTTAGGGTTCACAAAATTTCTACGTGACCTAATTTGCATCAAATGTGCCCCCACAATGTTTTTGGAAAAAAGAGACCGTATTGTTAAAAAAACTGTGGAATTGTGCAATCATCTGCCAAGCTTTGGGCTATTATCTAAGGGCAGACTTGATAAAATTACGGTCGAAAAATGAGTCATATTTGCCCAAGAAAGTCCAGGGATGCCATGGGTGAATTTGGCTGCAAGCAGGCTTGGCCATCAACATTGCTCCATCCCCATTATTACTATATACCTCATGAATATTCATCAGGCAGCCGCGGCATTTCATTGGTCCATTCCAGCACCTCAACCGTGTGAAAGTTGTTTACTATTTCCCCGCGTCTCGGCACACGCGCGTGATGCGCAAAAACCAGGGAATTAGTACCACACACTTGGGTCGCAGCCTTAGATTTGTTCCAGTCTAGTACTGTGTTTTCTTTTTACCAACGACGCCTGAGCTTTACGTGCGTACCCTGGAGATCATCGGTGAGGACATCCATTTTGTTTGTGCCAGTCTAGTCCAAAATGATCCCACAGCACCGTAGGGGCTGTCTAGTCTATTGCGGTATACATCAAAATGGCGACCGGTGGTATTCGCTTTTCAATTTTTACCGAGGAAGAACTGGGTGAAATTTTGGACAATAATAATAAATCCAGTGTTTTGTGTGAATGTTAAAGTTATTAAAATAATGACACAATAACTTTCTATTCCGTTTGTCTCCTTAAATTGAAATTAATGTCTCAGTTTATCCAAATACTGCACAATCAAAAACATGGTGGAATGGACCATGAAATACCGCGGCTGCCTGATAAATAATTACGAGGTATACTAAAACATTCTTACAACATGGTTTTTTTTGCAGGAAAATAGTGAAAACAAATTACCCTCGGTGTTGGATGATTGGGACTATCTCCCTGGGCTTCGCCTCTGGAGATAATCCTCCAACACATCGGGGTCATTAGTTTTCACTATTTCCCCACAAACCATGTTGTATTTGTTTTCTAGCACACTCCCCGTAAGAAATGGTCCGACAATCACTCTACACAAAACCCCAAGCGTTTGGGATTTTGTGCACAAGCCTTGTCAGCCAGCCTAACCCACTCGATTGACCTCGGCAAAACTGCAGGCCTCATCATAAAGAATAAGTTAACTGCACCCGATTTCACGAAGCGCTGCGACGCGTCGCAACTCGAGTTACGACGTGTAACACGTCGCAACTCGCGACGCGTCGTATCTTCCATTTCACGAAAGTTGCGATGTGTTGAACGCGTCGTAAGTTCCTTGACAACGGCTTAAAACACTTCGCAAGTTAAGACTTGTCTATTGGTCGTCGCAAAATAAGAAGAGTCGTTTCTGAGCCAGTTTTATGCCACAAACATTACATTAACGAGATTATAATACCGAGGCAATGCGTGTTAAGTTGTAAATAGAAAATTCATTGAATAATTATGAATTAGACCGGAATATTAGAATGGAAATTTCAAAGTAGCTATACAGTCCACTGAGAGTTTGTTTTCCTTCAAAACTGCATCGCACAGCCTCCATTTTGTTTTACGTTTTGACAAATTTCGAGCTGAGATCCGACGACTCTTTGTTGAATATCAGACGACTATTTACTGTAGGCTGACTAAGTACATAAAACAGTCACCGAGTTGTGCTATAAATACACATACGACGCGTCGCACTTACGACGTGTTTAGTGAAATGGATTGCAGGACGCGTCGCAGCTGCAACGCATCGTAGAGATACGACGCGTCGCAGCGCTGCGATGCATCGTAAGTTACGAAGAGTTTGATGAAATCGGGTGCTGGACCAACATCTACGAGACTATGAACTTAGCACGGTGGAAGAGGGTTCCCACGCCTGGCAACTATAGCCTGCGTCAAAGTGTCCTCTTCACACAATTAAAGTCCTTGCCCATTCAGATCTAGGTATTTCAAGTGTTTCAGCAGAAGGATCATCTGGATATCTACTCCACTATGCCTATTAGTTAGCCTAATCACACCAATTGAATATTAGGTTTTAACCCTTCAATGTTGTACACCCAATCCTGAATTTACATTATCCCGACAACGCAAATTCTATCTTCAGAATTGTCTAATCAAATACATTGTAGTACATTTAGGACAGTGTCATGTGGTTTTTGCTCTCCCCCCCCCAAACAAATATCCCACAATCTATAGCAGATGGCAAATACATGTATGTAAACAACAGATTTTTATAATTTCTAACTCTCCCGGGTGGGGGGGGGGGGGGGGCCTCATGGGGAGAGGGGCATGGGGGCCATGTGGGGGCCATAGCATGGGGGGGCAGTTCAATGACACCTCCTAAAAATTGATGCCATTTAGGACACTATCTGGCTTGACACCCACTAGTGTACTTTCTTTTTAGTACTGTGATTAACTATCAAATGTCCAAATATTCAACAGTGTAATAGATTGTTATAAAAAGAGGACAAATATCTTTCACTCTGGGAATATCCAACACATTCGTGGAAAAGAATTGTCATACATGAAAAGTTACCCAAATTGTTAAGTTAAGTAAGACATTTTTTTTCAAAAAAAACCCCACTACAAATAGAGAAACTCTCACATCATTTCAAACTACACTGATAATGATTGCAGTGAGTTAAATATATCTGGTGGCATCGTTGGACGGCTGCCCCTTTTCTTTTCATGGTCGAATTTATGGGGGAAAAATGGTTTGTGCTTGCGTTGTGTTTAAACTAGGCCTATGAACTAGCTACTACCTTGTAAGTACTCCTGGATTACTGAGATGCCGGTTTTGTGTCATTTCAATCATGTGCACCTTGTAAGCTTCATTATTTGATTTTTACTTTGGAACTGCACTGCACCATACTTTTCATGATTACGTTTTGTGTTGTAAATGTTCAGTGCTTCGATGTCTTTTATCACATGGAAGGCGCTTTAAAGTAATTATTATTGATATTACACTACTGAATGCCATAATAGGGCGACAGATTTTGCTAATCGCGTCTGCATTAGGGTGACACACCTTATTGGGGAGACACATAACTGTCGCCCTATTGTTAAAACGACCCTTAGAAGGAATTTTACTGTCAGTGTCGCAAACCATGTAGATTGATTCCTTGTGGTCCAAAACACGCCTATACCGAATTTCGTGGAGAAAGGATAAAGTAAATTTGGGTTATAGGGACATTTTAGGTATGCGCACAAGTCTAAGGAAAAGTCGCCCTATTAAAGCATGAATACTTGCTCCCATTCCAAACATTTGGGTTAATTTCATGAAGATGATATGCAGAACAAAAAAAATGGCATACACTCTAATCGAGAAATGTCCTCTTTTACTACAAAAATCAATTAAAAAAATTGAAAATTAAAAAAACTAAATACTTACCACGATGACTGTCTGATTAGCCCCCCGTTTCATCAGCCTCCAATGTTGGCGAATCTCTGCGATGGCGTGATGCATGTATCCTCATGATGTAATGAGGGGACTCTTCCATGACTCGATCCAATTCATAACTTGGGCATATCCCCACATCTGCACGCAGAGTAAAAAAATAACAAATGATTATGGCTTGAAGAAGCATTAAGGCCAAAAAAAAAGTCTCCGGTTTCTGGTATGGAGCTTGCCCAAAAAGTGGTGCGGCGACGTGGCTTTTTTTTTTTTTTTTACCTGATTTTTGTGCTTTAAAATCATTGAAATGTCGGCTGATGACTGCAAATGGTGTCCGACTAAACTTTGTGCAAATAGATGGGAGTCCAGAGAGGCCACATAAAGCTTATTCTCGACCATAATCCAATCTAAAAACATGTTAAAATTGTGCAGCAGCAGGATTCCAGTCAAACCAGTGAGTTTGGCGGTTTTAAGACATCATCTTTCATTGAAAAAAACCTTTTTCATTTTGCCGACGCGCATGGCTAGGCGACGCGCGAGCATACCAGAAACCGGAGACTTTTTTTTTTGGCCTAAGGCGTGCTTTAGACTCAACTATACAAGTCACACACGCTCAAATTATGTGGAACTGTGTTTGATAAGTTTATTAAAAAAAAAGTAATAAGCCTACTTCAGTTATTTTCTTAACTAACCCTCCTGCTGTTTGAATAGTCACAGACAGTCAAAAAATCAATCCAGGCAAGCACTGTGACTAGTCAAATTCAGTCAACAAGATTAAAGCAGGCAAGAGGTGGGCACAGCTGGCTTATCAATCACCTACAGTCAAAGCATAGCTGCACCAAGTTAGTCAAACCTGCTTGATATGGGCTGGGAGCTCTGAACTGTTTAATTTTGACCAAAAGGACAACAAATTTGTGTTTGCATATAGGAGGGACAACGAATTGAATTGAGAGGCTTTAAATTTCTTATTTCCGTTAATTTTCAATCAGCAGTTTCTTAAAAAAAACAAAAAAAACCTGTATTTTCAATGTCAAAATAAGTATGACACAGGAGATTGAGTTTTCTGTTTTTGCTTTTTTGTTTTTGTATTAATTGAAACGCGTCCCACCAATACATTTGAGGCAAATTCTTCTCAAATTTATCGGATCCCTTCACCCATGTGCCAAACAACCTGCATACCAAACTATACAGACAAGTAATGAGTCTCACTCTTTGTTTGTTTCAGACAAGAGTCATTTCGGTATTTTCAATTACTTCTTGGCTCTGCCACTTTTGAGACATTAATTTCATTTGTTCTATACATGGGTAAACTTCAGCCATGGTCTGGACTTAGGTTTAGATGTCTACCCATGAAGAAAATACAAAATCTACTGCCGGGGGGGGAGGGGGGGGGGGGGGGGGGTGAGAGAGTCTGAGTATCACCCGTTATCCAACGTCTGATATGTCAAAGCATGCAGATTTATGCGATTCTTGACGTCATTTCATACCCAAATCAGGACTAAACGTATGATTGGTCAATTCAAATGCAGTGTTTTGCAATACAACAGCCGTAACATAATACAGAGCGCGTGAAAACAGTCTTTGTTGCTGTGTCTGAAGTATTTTTTTTTATCCTATGACGCGACAACGGTGAGTGACTGAAGACCCCATATAGAAAGCACCCGCTGATTGGTCAAAATCTAGAGGTCAGGATGCGGTTGTCTTGCATAATTAATTAATTAGCAAATCTGCTCAAATGTTATAGACCAGATCGACCATGCCTTTCGCCATGGTCTATTGCATAGGTTTGGGGGGGGGGGGAAGCACATTCCCCCCAAAATTCGTCACTTTTTCAACTTATAAACAATTTATCATTTTTCCGAGCGTGGGAAGGGGAACATTTTCCCTACCCCCCTCCCCCAAATTAAATTAACAGCAATATGGCTTCGCACCTCTTTTCCTTTTTTTGTTTTGTTTTTGTTTTGTTTTCCTTTTTCCAGGGGGGGAGGGGGCAAGCGCCACCCTAATTGCACCCCCCCCCCCCCCCCCCCCCCCCGACGCCCATGGGTGTGTCTGGGTATACTTGTACAGGGTGTTTTTTAAAAAAGGATGAGTATGGACAGACGATATGTTTACTGGCTATAAAACTGGTATCATCTGAAAGCATATCTCTATGCTTTTTAATGATACTATGTTTAGGTTTTCTGAGTCATGCATCACTGAGCATCATTGTCTTGAAAACTGGACGCAAAAATGCAGATGGTTCACTTTCATAAAAAAAAAAACACTGCCCACTGTGAACCTATTGTTACGGAAATTTCTGTGAAATGGCTTAAATGTTAATCCTCGGGAAAATTGGCACATTGTTTTGAACATGACTTGGTCAAAACGAGAAATTCATGACAAACAATAAAATCCAGTTTTGAAACCAACCCGACTCGGTTTTTGTTTTTTGTTTCTTTTTATGCACTCGTGTCTTCGTCTTGAATACTTATTCTCATGCACACCATGCCTATTGTGTTTGACATGCATAGAGATTACCCTTTCAGATGATACCAGTTTTGTGGCCAGTAACCATTTAGTCTGTCCATACTGGTTCTTCAAAGTTGGGTTTCCTTTTTATTGAAACACCCTGTATAAGTGTACACGGAATGTTATGTTTTGTTAGCCGATGTTTAAGTGGGCCTGTTTCTGCTCACAGTGGACCCCTGTTGGTTACAGCACACGAAGGCAAGACAATAGTCCGAAAAGGACTTAAGTAAATGCATTATTCCATCTTGTTTCTCCATGCTTTTACTACTGGGAAAATGTTGCATATATAGTTGCATGCTGTATCCTAATGAGCAGACAACAACTATGCTTGGTAAACCAACACAAAGGAAGTAACAACTTCCATGGGTGATTATCCTGCTATATAAGTATCCAGTCATCCACTGAAACTCAAGCAGCAGGGTGTGAGTCAAGGATCTGAACACTAGCCAGTAGCTAGAGATTGAGGAGAAAGGTAGTATTCGGCCAGGAAAAATAAATACCTGCAATTCCTATTACCCACCGACCTAGAAAATCACGCAAAAACTTAAATCTTTTTATTAAAAAAAAAGGAATTATTTTTGTAAGTTGGTCAGCAGTATGGGCTTGCTGCTGCAACATGCAGAGACGCTTGTAAACAGCACAGCAAACCTGAACAGTTGACCAAAACCCATTTAATCGCCCATTATCCCACCTCATCTCTTCCTGGCTCTAAAAATTGAGAGGAAAAACAAAGACTTAATCCACACAACCATCCTATTTCTTTTGTCAATGTAATATTTTTGGTCTTATACAGCGTGTGTCAATAAAACGCAGGATTAGAAACAAAAAATATTAAGAATATAAACCACCCCTATTCATCATAATGTTAACCTTCTTTTCAAAGTACCTTTCCTTCTCTTTACTATGCTTTTTATCCCATCTCATTTGGACAATCCTGTCCAGAGATAGAGTACATTGAAGAAGGGTTATAAATTCCAAGCTGGTCTGATTTGTGAATCGCACATACCTAATGAAAGGTTTGAATTCAGTACAGGTGAAAGTATTTGTGGATCACAAAGAAGGACATGTGTGGCAGGATTAGGCTTACATAGTCCTTTAGTCCACAATCAATGTTATTAGTCAATAATTCATGATGCTTTGAAACAATGATAGTCCAGTTATTAATTTAAGTGATACTTATCATCAGTTGTTTCAAAGAAAGTTTTGTTCTGGTTTAATTGTCTTCAATGCATACCTGCATTGTACATAACTGGTTGTTGTGTTAAGGTCATTGAATCAGACCAACCCGCTTCAGAAGGGCTTCACAAAACTTGTCATAACTTTTGAACCAAAAGTCCAAATTCCACCAAACAAAAATCTTGTCAAAGATGAAATTATGGACAATCAAATCCTTATCAAATTAGGCACACCAGTAGCATAATTTTCTCAGAAAAAAATCATCGCTTTGAATCGTGCGTTTTTATTGACACACACGCTGTACATATACACATTGCTAACTGCAAGATATAATCAAGCGGGACCAAGATGTGGGAATAAATTAGCATCAATGTTGAAATCACCGATTCCTTGCTAGATATTCTGGTTCTTGCAATACTTCCAAAAGCATCTGCTATCTCACATCCGTCACATTTGAACAAAAAAAAAAGGTTTAATATTTCTTTAATGATAATTCAAGATCACCAACTGAAAGTTTGAGAAGACTTAAATGAACGTTATCTACCTTTATATGGCTGTGCTTGAATACACCAAACATTAACAAATATTAAATCATCAATCGAATGTCCGAATAGAATTTTTTTTCAATTTAAATATTATAAAAATGTGCACAGTTTCGGCGATCATGTAGTCATGGGCCCAAATTCCCTATAAGAGAACAATACCAAGTTTTCATTTATTTGAATTACCAAACTAGTTGGCGACATTAAGAACGTGCAGATGCTTCATAGATAGAGAGCAGGGTTTTGAATTTTTGAGGGAAATTGGGGGTGAAATGACGATGAAGACGACAAACACAACACTTAAATAAAGATGGCGATCACCGCGATGTTTAGTGAATGCTCAAGACGCGCTGAATCACAGGGCACCAACCATAAACCGCATGTTGTAATTTCTACCCCAAGAAGCTGTTTAAAATGACAAAAAAAGCGTCATAAAATTTTCGAGAAGTCGACTCTAGGTTGGAAAGGTCATTTTTGAATGATGCAAACACCCTTGACTCCAATTTGATTGTAACTAAAGAGGGGGCCCGTACCTACATGATCACTGCAATGTTTAGGTTTTCGGTATTGTTTACAATCCAATGTCCAACTTTTTTAAGCCATTTAATACCAAATGTCGGAACTAATGTTTTATTGAAGTTCGGCATGTAGCACTTTCAAAATCTAGGATATAAAGCCCAACACATAAGCTTTCTTTTAGTACAATAATCATTCAAATCACTTATAAATGCAATTTTCAATTTGTGGCTTTTGGGGGGGGGGGGTATGACAAGAAGTACAAAAAAAAGTTGGAATATACAAACATGGTGATTCATTAAAGTGATTTTGTACAGGATTTTGTTAGAAGCAAGGTTGATGAGCCAGCTGTGCATTTCTATAAATGAAAAAAAAATGCCCTTTAAAAATGGTTTTGTTGAGA